GGCAACAACAGCAGCAGCAAAAGCTGCGACAGCAACAACAATGCCATGAAAAATAACTTTCACTAGAAACTGAAACCTAAAACCGACAAAAGCTGATAACAAAACAAAAGCCAGAAACAACAACTGCAACTGTAAGGTTGTTTATTTGTGTGTATGCATATGTATATACAATACAAGTACATGTATATGTGTGCATGGGGGCATCATCAATGTGGTTGTGTCGTCTGTCAGTGCCTTCAAAGCTCAAGTGACTCACATATTGCGTGCCTCTCACATGGTTTGTTAATCACAAATCACATTTTCATACGAACACAGTTTTCTTTATGTCTGTCAAAAAGCGCAAACACACACACACACACACACACGCACACACTTGTGTATATGTGTGTACATTTGAGATTGTAAGCCTTCAAGTTCTAAGCCTCTTAGGATGCTTAGAGGACAACGCCCACTAATCGCATCCATTCCTTGCAGTAGGCGTAAATTGTCTAACAAAACGATTTGGCAAGGAAGTTATAAATTTGCTGCACAAATAGAATAGCAACGCAGGCGGCATGGGGAATGGGTTGCAGCGTTCATTAAAAGCAACAAATCCCACTGACAACAACAACAACAACAGCAACAACAACAAGTTGCAGCTGTCGCTCGTCGCTGCCTTCCATTGAGGAAAAACCTTTGGCACATGCAGCCAAGTTTGTTGCAAGTTTTATGACCTTCCATAACGCCCACAAAAAAACCCGCTGAAACTGCACTGAGCAAAAATCTTCTGACTACTCCAGTCTGCAATCTGACAGCTCATGACTTTTGTTCGCAATTAGAGAATGATCAGCTTCGTAGGTGAAAACCCCAACCCAAGCTCAAGCGGCCAGGCGGACAAGTAACAAACAACAATACAGTTAAAGAACTCTACAAGTATAACGATCTATAAATACTTTTGTGCTAGCACTCAAAATTCATAATGAATGAACATTAATTTTAGAAAATGACTTAAGAATCCACTAAAGGAAAGAAATCTTATCACAATTATAACAATTGTGTTTAATCAGCGACTGCGATAATAATCTTCACGTCCTACTTTAAGTGACACATAAGTTTTGGGGACTTTCCCCAAATTCATGCCTACTGTTTTGTTAATGATTGTTAATGGTTTTTGTTTTATATAACACTGAAGAAGAATGCTGATCCATGCCCTAATTAATCATAGAACTATACATTATGGCTTAGTGCTTATTCCTGGCAGGCTTCACTTGAAGAACATTAGTTTGTTGTAGCGATGTTGTACTGTACAAACACTAAACGCCGACGACTTGCGGCCTACACACAGCACTAGGTAAGTAGGTAGAAGTAGAGCTCCCCGCCTTTGTCTGAGCTCCTCTGGTCCTGGTCGAGATACTTCTACGAGTTGCAAATAGAAGAAAAAAAGTTGCTGTCTGTCTCAGCAGCAGCAACAACAATGACAAAACAGCCCGAACTGATGGTGATGACAACAAGACGAGGGAAATAACTTGAAAATGCTTGGGTGAGGTAATAAGAATTAATAAAAATAATCACTTGGCCAATGAACTTTTCTCATTGGCTGCATTAAAGGGACAGAAAAGCGTACAACTGACTGAACGTATTTGTTTTGTTTGCTTTTTTTGTCAATTCCCTGAACTTTGTCAATTAACCTTATTAAGTGTACAAACAGTAATTGGCAACGGAAGTGAAGATCGACGCAAAACTGACCTTTTAACATACTTTCAAGCACGCAGAATTGAGCAAAGGGCGTTTTAAGAATTTTACAAAAAAACTGTAACTGCGGCTTTATCAAAAGAAATATGTGGGAATATTAATCAAATATACTATTGGCTGATAAGCCGCTTTCAAGATGTGTCTATATCAATTTTCTGTATTAATATTGTGGCTATGTTTAATAAATAAAGAGAAATAATAGAAATGCACATAAAAATGTCGCATGATAGAATTTGAAGAAATTTGAAAATACTTGTAAATAAAAAGAAAGCAGGCTAGAGTAAAGGTTCGTTGAGATCACAATCGAGAAGAGAGCAACAATACCAAATGAACTCAACTGAGGACAAACCCCCATGGTGTTTGCGGTTGGACGAGGCCAGAAAACTGTCTTTCCCCTTGTCTTGTACTTGTATGTGGCTATGAAAGGCAACGAAAAGGTGCCTCTCAGCCACGAAACAAACAAACAAAACAAAACAAAAAGAAAAAAAGAGCCGGCTACGCTTGACCTGTGCGCATGCGTTGCCTTCCAATTCCATTTCGCCTTCCACTTTGTCGGGCACTTGTGTCAACAGCCAGCCATGCACTTTTTTATATACATGTATGATCATGTATGTGTGTGTGTGTGTGTGTGTGTGTGTGTGTGCACAGTCAAATGTCAAAACGACAGACGACAAGCAACAAATTTTCTATTGACTTTTCGTGGGCAGAGAAAATTGAAAGGCCAAACACAGCCCAGCTCTGTGACATTTGATAGCACACTCATATCAATATCACATTCTACCCATAAGTATTTATATAATGCTTAGTGCTTACTCATATACTTATACGATCAGCATGCTGGCCCCTCATGAACCACATGGGGTCATTGTTAAGCATCAAACCCTACATTAGTTCGTTTAATTACAACTAATGAGTGGTAAGCGTGCTTGTATGAACAGGTCTGATAAACAATTGGATTTTTAATCTGCCTCCAAGAGAATCTGAGAGTCGTACAAGGTTCATTTTGCGCAAAGTCAAACACAAACTAGCATACCCTTTTACCCTTTGGGTACAGGGTATAACAAACCCCTTACAGCATTAAAACTGCATTGTAATAATTTGATCATTTATAATCAATTTTATTCTTTTATTTGCATACCAATAAAAAAAGAAGACAAACATTTATTTCAGGAATTGGCAAAGGCAATGAAATCACACACATTTGCCAATTTCTGAAATTAGCAGTTCCACAATATTTTATTCTCATAATTTCGCATTTAAAAAAATTAAACAAAATTTGAATTTCAATAGATTTCCTATGAATGTGTAATTGACTTTTTTAATTCGTTCTGGCAGTCAGTGGAAATAAAATGTGGAAATCCACTTCTAGCTAAAGAGAAGGCAAAATAAGTTGAATAGATTCTAGGAAATAGAGAAGTAATTTTTAAAATTTATAAACGAAAAGCAAAACACAAATTTTGTTTGCAAGGAAAAGTTGATTTTGCAAAAAAAAAAAGATTTATCAGTCATAGAACGATAAATAAGTAATCTATTGAAATAAATAAGTTACAAAACTAATTTTCAGTCCAGAACATCAGTTGATATGGAATTCGTAAGAAAATGTATGCTCTTCTAACTACAGAAATAGCAAAAACTACAGAATAATTAATATAATTCGTTCCGGCTGAACGACATTTGCTTCGCGAATAAATTCGATCTTAGTTAACAAAGACTGTTTTTTGTTTCAATACTTTTTCTGATAAGCGACATACGTACGTTCGTATATACTTGTATGTATGTCTGTATTGTAGAAAGCAATTCAAATTAAAAAGCCACCACATGACTCACACGTTTGTATTGTGTTTTATAATACGCCGGGTGAGCTGACCTAGTTAAAGATCATACTATATATTGATTTTTCTTTAGAAACAACAATTGTTAATGCTTGTAAAGTAGATTTAGTTATTGAAGTGCTGACATTTTGCACAATTTTTTCTTAATTCAATCAGCAATGGAATCACAAATGGGTCAGCAATATTTCACAGTCATGAGCATAAATTTCAAAGTTCAAGCTGGCCAATCCAATTTGCAAAGTTATCGCATTTTTTGCGCATAAATTACCGTAACTCCAATTTGGGTCAAAGCCCAAAAAATTATTATCATTAAATTTCATTACAAGCCAACTTTTGACCGCTTAAATAATCGGAAAGAAATGCCAAAACAAAAACAGAAACTGCAAAATTTCTTACAATGCGAGAAACAATGCAAAGCGCAAATCATGAAACCCGTTACAACAAAAAACGCACTTCACTTGATATATGTACATATGTATGTATGTATGTACGATTATATATGGTGGTATAAACACTTGGTGTACAGTTATATCAACGGCAGTGAATGTTGAATTTAGTGCACTGGCCAAAGCTCACAACAACCATATGCAACTGCCTCTGGGCAACCCGAAAAAAAGACGAGATACAAAATGAATTCAAGGAAACTTGCGCAGGCGCACGCGAAGTATTTTAACCATTTTTGGGCAAGGCGCTGAGGCCGCCAAACGAGTCGGGCAAACGACCGCTAAAACATGCGAAATGTGTGTGCGAAAGAGCCCCACCCCCACCTCCTACACCACCAGCATCACCACCACCAACACCCCACTCCTATCTACAATGGAGCACAGACGCAGGCGCAAGTGACTGCTGACTCATCACTTATGTAGTTCAATGAACTTTTCCCCTACACTGCTCGAAGGACTTCAAAGAAATCGGGTATTGAATAAAATGTGCTTTGAAATGTTTCTTCTATTCTAGTCTCAGTTGGAAATGTTATCAATAATATAGATTTGAATGCAAATTGCGCAGATAGGATACGAATGAGGGATATTTCAGTTTCTTAACTCCTAAATTAGATTCCCTTTAACATGCTCTAAACAACATTTTGAACGGTTTTATCTCCATTTGGATAAAGAAGACTACATTAAGCAAAGTAACCTTATGCCATATAATCAGTCGTGCTAGCCAGAAAGAGATACGGCTTCTCTTAGAACTCGGTAGAGCCATATGTGGGCATATTTATATTTAATTTTTGGCAACAACTTTTTTTCACTACAAGATCAATAATTGTGGAGCAAAGAATGGATGAACATAGAATTTTAAAAACATTCCAAAACATTAAGATTAACTTAATTAAAAGCTAAATTGTTAGACAAATCTAGCCTTTTTAGTGGATGTCTGAATGCCATTTCTAAAATGTTACAAAATTTGTTTCAAGTGTATGTTCTCTTAACTTACCAAAAAAGTCTTCCCAACGCTCCGAAGTGTCCGAATCGGATTCTATGTCCATCTTCAGGCTACTGTTGCTGCTACCGCTTCTGTTGCTGTTGTTGTTGTAGTTGCTTCTGCTCCTGCTGGAGTTGATTTATATGCTCAATGCCTTGTTTGGTTTTGTCTAAATTTAGCCAAAGATTGCAAAGCGAGTTGGCAGTTGCGTGAGCTTTTCTTTTCTTTTTTTTTATTGTGTTTCGTATGGCCTTAGCTGGTTCTTTTTTTCGCCTTTGCACTTGAACTACACTGGCATTAGACATATAGGTGCAAGCATGTCGGTATGTAGTGCATACATACGTGTATGTATATATGCATGTATGTATGTCTCGGCAAGTGTACGTTTAGAATGTGGTCTATAATGGCCGCTGACTAAAGCCTTTGTCAATAACGACGTTTTATGGCTGCCTGTGTTCAATGACTTCACCCGTCCAGCGGAAAAGCAAAAGCCTAATCAATGTGCCAGACGCGATAAGATAAAAATACCGAAATCGTTAAGTTTTACTTTAGCCGCAGGGAGCGAGTAGCGACGCCTTTGTGCGAATTTTAATTGCACGTTATGTATGTACATATGTATGTACATATAGTATAGTATATATGTATATATGTATATGTTTGCATAAGCTTCTCGTCGTATCTTATCGTATCGTTGGGTTATTTCTTCGATATTAACGCATTCGAGCAAATACGCAATTGGCAATGCATTCCAACTCAACTCGATGCGCTCGCTGTGTCTTAGATACAGATACAGATACTCTGAGCCATGCAGTCGGACAGCGCAACAGCTGTGCACATGTATATGTGCATACACACATATGCATACAAACACACTCACGCACACAAGCAAAATAGACAAACGGTGGCTACACGCTCTCCCACAAATGTATCTTAAAAGTTGGCTCGTGACGTTTTTATCGAATTTGTCTTTAAAAACACATTTATACGAGCATATACAATGCCGTTTGATTCTCGCAATTCTCGATAATTTTTATGACTAAACCGGCTTGACAAACGTGTTGTTCGCGGTTTTCGGTGCAGACAAGTGTTGCTTTTGTTGTTATATGTATATGTACATGTATCTAGGTTTGCTTAGTGCATGTTGTTGATATTATGAGTTGGTTTAGATTCTTTGCATTATATGTATGTATGTTGCATAATTTAGTTACTTTATGGGCTTGTTGATTGAATTAAATTGATCATTTCATAGCTTTCGTTTCGAATGCGACGCACACTTGTTACACAAAGCCAACCAACACTCACCACAAAACAAGAAAAAAACGCTTTTGCAAAATCTTGAAGTATCTTGTAGATGCTTTACGTTACCGGTCGCTCGCTTCAGTAATTTTTTTAGTTTTTACGTGCAAATCACCTTTGCGCCGTTACTTTGGCCATTTCTGTTAGTTCTAATTGTATAAACACTCACACAAACACACAGCCACTCGCACACATGCACATAAAAACGAACTGGTAGAAACAGTAAAAGATACACGTGTGGAAAACTACATTTTCATATGCGCGACGACCGACTCACCCACACGACTTCTCTGCTCGAACTAAAACATCCAACGCGCCAACGAAAGCGATCGAGTCAAGACACCGAATCGAACACGTTCGACGTCGTGCTCAGAAAAGTATCTTCAAGATGTTTTTGTTTGATTAACAACTGGTTGCTTGAGCAGTAGCAGCTGTTGGATTGAATCATTCGGAAGTAGGGTCTTCGTTGAAGGTACGCCAATAGGAATAAGTTATCCAAACATAGTAAAGTTCAGCTGGAAAACAGTATTGACATTAATTCAAATATCGACTCCGTTCTTTCCAAAACTTACTCATTAGAAATAAAGCCACAAACAAGACTCGTACCAGGGTTGTACCAATTAAAACATGCCAATAACCGACTGTGCATAAGCATGCAATAATGGACACAATTCCGCAACGACATGAATACAGCGAAAATTTGTGAAATTTCTTTAATTAAATGAAACAAGATATATTTAAATGTAAGTCCCATTTTTCATATGAGTTTAATATTTTACCTTAATTGTGCCTAAAAGCATCATAAGCTTACTTACGAGGAACAAGACTGTCAAAATAATTGCAGCAAGGGCTAATATAAAATCCAAAGCCACAGCACGACGATATAACATAGAACCACAAACGATTGTATAAACCGTGCCGGCCACGCCAATAAGTTTGCAAGCAGTGTGAAGATCTATTAAACAGCAGAACGATTTTAAAACAAACATTTTGACACACAAGTCGAAACAAGCAAAACTTAGAAAACTCACTTTCAAATCGATTTCCTACGCGCGTTCGCTTTTCAGAGTAACCATGTCACGGTTGTGTGCAAAGCATTGCCAGAAATAATTAAAACAGCTTCATATGATGACACATCGAATACATACAAATGCCTATCGATTAAAATACACATAAAACCGATCAATCGAGTGGATGGCACGCGCTGGCATTGATCAGCAAACAGACATGGAAATTAGTGCACCACCTGCCAAACGATGCAAGTTCATGGCCACTGAGGTGGACGACAACTTAGAGATAAAGGCAGTTTTGACAACCGAGTATAAAAAAGACATAACACTTATCAAGGTACACAGCTGTCAACTGGAAACGAAACAACAGCTGCAATCAGTTGTACAGGAACTTTCCCAAAAACTGCCACATTTTCATCATTTAAAGCGCGTTAGTGACAGGAACGTATTAATATGTCCAACCGCTGAAGTAGAGCACACGCTGGAGCAGCATCTGCAAGGCCATGCATTCTCGGACAGTGTGGTTAAAGCCCTCTGTCGAGATGTTAAAGTGATAGAGGTGCCTGCCGACAGGGCCAAATTGCGCATGCAGTACGAAAAAATGAAAAAGTATTGGCCTTGTAAGTTTCATCCGGATAAGTACGCAGAATCGCTTCAAAATGGTAGTAACTTCACATCTAAGCAGCGCATCTTCCATAAGCAAATGGCGCAACTACTACGATCTTTGACCAAAAACGTGAATGCGGGTCAGCCAGTGGGTATTTGTGTAGACCCGCGACAACCCAGTATTGTGGCCATTGCAGGGAGTAATGACACATGCAGCTCTTCTCATCGACACTGCTCCATGTTGCTTGTCGACTATGTGGCACGCAGCCAGCAAGGAGGTGCAACTCAGCACCAGGTGGATTTCGTGCAAGATGACGATGCCAGCAAAACAACGCTACGCGGCATACCAAAAGCTTTCCATGACTACATAAGGCAGGATGAAGCATACAAAGATGTGCAGTGTGGGGCTCAGATGTCTGTGGAATATGAGCAGCAACAGGTGGAAGCTACCGCAGATAATCTGGCCAAGTATGGGCCCTATCTCTGCACGGGATACGATGTCTACCTACTACGCGAACCTTGCCTCATGTGTGCCATGGCGTTAGTGCATAGCCGGGTGAAGCGCATTTTCTTCCTGCTGCCCTCCGACAACGGCGCCTTGGCTACACGTTTCCAACTGCACGATGTAAAGGAGCTAAACCACCATTACGAAGTTTTTCAATTTATAACTGACGGCACCTGATACAATTAATTTCTGTAAATATTGCACTCTGAACTGGTTTAGAATAAATTTTCCATTTTAATAGCTCCTGTTACTCCCGTTGTTGCCGCTCCTGTTCCTTTTGGTGCATTTTGACGTGTAGGTGTTGATATTAGACCTAAAAGCTGGCAATCTGCCTCCAGGATGGTTAAGTCTTTAGATGATCCCAGAAATCTAGTGGACAGCTCCAAGTCTTTGACACGCAAACGAACGCGGGCACCTCTTACGTAGTCGCTAGAAAGATACGATTGTTTTTGGAGCGAACTACGAGTAAGTACATAGATCTGCCTTTTAAAACTTACCTTCCATTGCGTGCTGGACGCGTGCACACACAGTGGAACTTCCAGCCAAAATCTATGTAAAGATCATCACCGACAACATGAAAGATTTTACCAGACACAACCTTGCCATCTGCGCTGCCCAGCTGCGAAAATAATAATAAAAATACGATTACATAAATATTGTGGAAGCTGGAGAAACCGTGCGTCTACTTACATCTATGAACTTGGAGGTGCGCAGAAGCGATGCAAAAGTTTGATTATCCACGGGCGCCTCTTCTGGCTGTGGAGGAGCTGTATATTTCTCAAATGCACGTGCAAAACCACCTTTGCTTGCACTTTCCGGCTCATCGGTAGCTTCATTGTTTGTAATGCTCCGAACTCGCGTTGATACGGTCAGCTGCCTGTTGAGTGCGTGGACTTTTACTTGTGTTGTAAATCTGGATAGTTTATGGAGAAAAGACATGGTTTCCGTATAGTTTCTAATTCAACAATAAACAATCAAAAACGGAATCCCAATTCTGCTTGCAATCAGCTGACCGAAGGCAAATATCGATGTTAATGCACGTTACAGTACAAAATTATCGATTACTAATAGCTATCATATGGTATCGGCAGCTCTTGCGAGTAGCACGCTTTCCCGGCATTTGATTTACATAAGCAATACATTATATAGTGTATTTTATAAATATTAAAACAAAATGATTCAACAACAGCGCCAACGTATTGAAGCCGCCGTCACCGAGATGATTGACGACATGGACAAAACCCACCTGCGCAAAATGCAAGTAAGAATAATGGAAATTGACCCTTAATTGAAATCCAGCATGTATACAATATTCTCTATTCAGACAGAGATGCACCTGTGTGCGGCGAAATGTTGCCAGGACAGCTCCTCGAGCGTGGACAGTGTGCAGCGTTGTGTGGACCGCTGTTCCGCCCCCATGACACGTGCCCAAAACTATGTGCAACACGAACTGGGCGAATTTCAGGGCAGGCTACAGCGTTGCGTCATGGTAGGTGTTGGTTTTAAAAAAATTCAGTATAGTTGACTCTAATTATCATTTGCAGCAATGCAACGATGATGTCAAAGTGAAGTTGCCAGCCAATCCCAGCGAGGAGCAAATTGCTAAGTTCACAGATCAATTCGAGCGCTGTGCCATACAATGCGTGGACAAGCATGTGGGTCTAATACCGAGCATGATGAAGACAATGAAAGCGGTTTTGTCGAAAGGGCCGGAAAGCATACCCCAAGTGTAGATATAGTTCACGCGTTTATTAAGTTTTAATATTGTCAGGCCTTTTACAACTTGTTTAAATACAATTATTATTAACGATTCGTTTGAAATTTTGCGTATACTTGTACCATCATTCAGCATAATCTTATGACATCTACATATATACCACTACACTTTGATTAAACGTATTACATGAAAAGAAAAGACGAAAAGGGAGGAATCCCGATCTCATGTTTCTTCCTCTTTGTCGTCTAATATCTCCTATGTAATTTTTTCAATTCCAATGAAGCCTTGAGTTCCGACCAAAGCTTAAAATAAAGATGTCAAAATTTTTTAGAAAATTGAACAATTTTGTCACATTTTGTTAATTTTTCCGTGAATATAAAACTCTAGAGCGCGAGAAAAGGCATTGGAAGACCTAATTTTAAAACTCTTGCAAGAATTCAGTGAATTATTCGATAAGAATGTTGGCAATGAATCTGGAGTAGGCAGTGGAACTTCGAGACTCGAACATGATTGAATGTTTGCCAAATCCAATAAGTACATACATATAGTCTACAAATATAGACACACCTTACCAACTAAAAAAAATTGTATCTTGATAGAAAATAAGTATTCTACTGCAAGCTCCACACATCCGAATACTAACTCTGTTCTGCATGTGAGAAGTAGGGTATACTTTCTTGTTATTCAAGGACAACGCACCATTAGTTGCACCTTCTTTGTATTAATGCAATTAATCAGTTAATCAAATTTGGATTCAGCTGTGTTTCAAAGAGAATATGTATACGAATTTTTCAGAAAAGTCGATTACTAGTCGGATTAGTATTCCATTTAATTCAATTACGTAAGAACTATGTATATAATACATAATAACAATACGAACATTCGCTTCATTGCTTTGATTCTCTAAGTTTATATCGAAGTATTGCACACTCTATATTTATAGTAAGGGTACATATATGTCTGCACAAAACAACTGAATATGTATGTTCGGCTTAACAACTTTAATAAATTAAGAAATCTCATCTCACCTGCGGTAAGATTATATATAGTATAAATGTACATATATAAAATTCTCTTTCTTATGGAAGCATGCCACAAAAACCGTTAAGAGAAGTAACGGTTTCGTGACTCACAGACATTCCGCCTTACAAAATCGTGAACATGCATATTATTATTATATTCATTTTATGAGAAATATGCCTCAGGCATTATTTTGGCTGCATTTTGATTTTGAATCCGAGACAGAATTAGAAAACGTATATCGTAATATTATTATATTCATTTTATGAGAAATATGCCTCAGGCATCATTTTGGCTGCATTTTGATTTCCGAAACAGAATTAGAAAACGTATATCGTATTATTATTATATTCATTTTATGAGAAATATGTGTCAGGCATCATTTTGGCTGCATTTTGATTTCCGAATCCGAGACACAATTAGAAAACGTATATCAGACATACATAAAACAAACTATTCAGAATTGGAACCTTCAAAGCTAGTAATGACAATATCGAGGGCACTTTTTAATGCTGAATTTCAAAGTAATATTGGTAATCATATTTTGCAAAGTCGACAAATCACTCAAGCTTCGATGGATTGAAGAAACATTTTTACACACATACTTCACAGTATTCCATAAGCATTGTATTCAATTGTCATGAAATATATACTTCTATTGTCTCTTTTTTAAATTTTCAAAATCATTCAAATTAAAAACAAATCAAATGGCGGAACAGCAGAAAAAACGCTTGGAAGGTGCCATTGGCGACATGATTGAGGATATGTACAAGACTCATTTAAGAAGAATGCAAGTAGGTGCCAAATAGCGATAAGCTAAATAGGTTTAGATTTAAAAAACTACCAAATTTTTGTACAGTCCACAATGCATCGCTGTGCCGCTCATTGCTGCGATGACGAACGCGGCACATTGGAGAGCGTCCAGAACTGCATCGAGAAATGCGCGCTTCCATTGATGAACGCCCAGGACTACTTGCAGCACGAGCTGGGACAGTTTCAGAGTCGATTGCAAAATTGCGTCAAGGTAAATATTGAGGCGCAGAGTATTGTTTTTAACTCAGACATACAAATATAGGATTGCAACCACGATGTGCGTTCCAAGTTGCCAACTAATCCGACCGATCGGGATATGTCGCGTTCCCAACATCTTTTCGAGCGCTGCACCGGCGATTGTGTGGACAAACATATCAATCTAATACCCGGCCTCATGAGAACCATAAAACAGGTGCTGGAAAAGGGTGATTCCAAAGCCGCGATACGCATTGAGCAACGCAGTCAAGAGGCGTAGAGAAAGAGCCAGGGATTTGTAGTTCGTTCTCAATCTGCGGAGCTTATTTTGTCTAATGATGTGCAATATATATATATTTTTTTGTCGTACTGCCGATCCAATAAGACATATATAGTATATACATATTGCATTTCTTGAGCAGTGTTTTCGAGAACCGCAAACAAGTTTTTTGATTGGGCTCACTGACATCTCAACTGATAATTATAATGATGGGGGTCAAACGATTGATAACTAAAATTAGGCAGCTGTTATTTCTTTTTTTTTAAATTACCTACATATATGTACATATATTTTTGGGCATTACGTAATATTCTAGAAAAATCGCTTAGTCCTACGGCTAACTTTAAACAATTTTAAGTATATAAGGAAACACTTGTCTTAGAAATATAACAAACAGTAATAAAGAAGAACTTAGACAATATATAACAAGATGTTTGTGACTTTCAAAATCGTCTATTGGTCATTCAGTTTTGTTCTAACGCCATATTTGCTCCAGAAGGTGACTTTGGCCGGCGTTCTTTTGCAGTTACTTTGGAAAACCGAGCACGTGTCGAAAGGTGGACAGTAGAGGTGCAACGATACAGAAGTTTCTGAATGGCTGGGATTTTCCACTCGATGCAGGCCCAAGTTATCTGAAGATATGGAAGGAAATCGAAAATGAGTAAAACATTAGTTGTTAGATAGCCAGTGTTATCAACTCACCATTTATATAGGCCACGTCATTCACGGCAATGGGCGTTTCGCCAATCTCCACCAGTTCGCGATCATCGATCTCGGAACCGTGTTCGTGCTGTTGCTGCTGATCTCCATTTCCGGTGCTCTTTTGCCGATTAGGGTACTCGTAGCGTTTCTCGCGCAAATCTCCCTTCAGCATTTTCATAAAACAATGCGAATCAGCATGATCGTGCACTGAGGAACTATGTCCTTCACCCCAGCAAAGGATAAGCAGGTTGAATTTTCCATTGCCCTCATCGACCAAATTTCGGGTGTAGGTGTAACGATCGAATTTGGCATATTTGCGCCATTCCTTGGGATTCGACTTGTACGACAGCATCAAATGATTGACCATTTCCATGTTGACGTAGTTAGTTTCGAACTCGCGATGCAGTGCCGTGATCAGATCCTGCAGTGTTTCAATAACTGGGCCATACTTAAGGGGCTTCTCGAGAGCACGATAGTAGTTCGTGGCCTCGCGCAGGTATTTCTCTTGATCGACTTGCTCGATCTCTGCATCGATCTTGGACAATGCCATTTTGTGTTTGCTCTGATTGACCTGTAAGTGCGCAGTTGTGAAAAAGTTTAGCTTGGCTATGTTCTATGGAAAAGAGGGATTCCATAAGCGCACGCGCCTCTGTGCTTTTCATGGAAAATTAGCCCAAACGTGTAGATTTTATAGCTTCTAATCACAGCAACTTACTTCTAATTGATTGATTTAAATTGATTATTTATTTCTATATAAGTACTGATAGTGCTAATGCTGGATTTCTGGCTTCTCCGAATTCGAAAATGATGCACACGCTCGCGCTGAAGACGTAAAGGCGACTGACATCACATTTTCTGGAGATTTTTCCGTTCGGTCTATATGTCTACAGAGCCGTTGAAAAACAAAAACAAATATCACGCGCTATTATCACTTACAAATATATAGTCAGCACATATGTACGTATTTATAATAATATTATGTACATGTCTTCCTAAAGTACTGATCGGTGTTTAACGCCAGCAGGAGCACATTGGGTGGCGGTGGCTCATGAAAGCAACAGATGTCCGAACACAGCCGAATTACAGTTCAAAGGTTAATGCTGACTTTAAAATACAAAAAATAAAAACCCACATAATACCAATGAACATCTGTATATAAGTATTTACTCATGATCGCTATTAGTACCTATTTGTTTATTGGTTGTTGGTTGATAAGTACGTCGGTTCTCTTAAGCTGGATGCTGCTAAATCTGCTTTGACGCAGTAATATGTACAGACCGTATTAGTTATCTATGTACATGTGTCTTTAAAAATTATCAGCTTGTTTTTCAATATGCACACATACCTACGTCAAAAACGGTTTGGGATTTCTTTTCACTTAATAGACACGCCCATATTTGTGTATTTTCCAAATTATAATTGCTTTCAATTCTAAGTTCATTCTTATAAGGGAATTTACTCATGTATGTTAATATAGTTGTAGTACGCGCATTTCATGTAATCTATACTTTGTTTGTACAAAAGATTTAACCTTAGCACTCAAATCGCTTTTCAGATTATACAGTGACGCAAACATACGCATTTTTTTCAACTTTCTCGCGTCTTTGGTGATTTGGAGCCGTACGAACTCTTTACTACGTATATTTTCCCAGCTTGTTCGATGAAAATGAATTTATTTTTAACTGCTATGCCTAATTATATTGCCTACTTTTAGGAAAATCCCTCACATACCATAATTACTTTCAATCACAAGTGAAAAATGCAAGCTGAATAATAATTACTAAGCTACTTTTTTACTAGTTTTACAATTCAATACTATTATAATGGTACATATGTGTTGTGCCAACTTCAAAAGAAATACCTAGAAAACGCTTTAAGGCGAAAAACTGGAATCTTTCCGCAAGATACCTCTCCTATCCGTAAGTAGAAGTGGGCCAAATATTCACTTTATTAATGGTATAAGCAATTTGAATTATGCTTGGAAGGCTCTGCGAAATTTAAGTTGGACGTTAACGTACAAAACTTGATCATATTTGTCAAAATTAGAATCCTCGGACTTCAATATCAATAACATTTGTAACATAACTGAACACCGCCCTGTCTTATTTCTTGGTTTTTTTCTTGAATTTTTCGTACAAATAAAGTTATTTAAAATCATAGCAAGACATATTCCAAAAAACGAATTGCTAACCGGAAGCTCAGATAATTAATTGATTTGTTGTTATTAAACGTGAAATTGGGATTTAGAAAATATGGGCCAGTGGAATTTAAACTTTTAATTGCCCTTGTGTTGTGAAATGCGGATGTACATACAATATACATACATACATATGTTTGTATGTATGTACTGTAGATTGTGCAAAAAGTTATATAACCATCAATTGCGGCTTTAATACAAATGGCAGGCAACTTCAAACTTCACTAGCGTTGTGGATTATTTTCACACTATTGTTTGTCAAGTGCATTTGAAAAATTCATAATGAAGCTGCAAAATATTTTGTAGGCATTTAAAAACTTTCAAAAGCTGAGCTCAACGATTGTAAAATATTTCACAGTCGTCAAATGTTTTGAAGCACATTTTGCCATCATGGCACAACTTTCGCAACAGGTTAAGGCCACACAACACGTTGCAGAGAGTTGGCCAAAGCCGTGAAAACAGCTATGTACGAGTATGGATGGATGTAAGTCAATAAAAAAAAAGTTATTGAACAAATAGTTCGAAGCGTTTAATGTATGTATGTACATTGCAAGTTCGACAAACTGCATCGGCGCAGGCTTAATTTTATTGTAAATATTCGTTAAAAGGTCGATTTGTCTAATCCTAAGTGTAGGATTAAAGGATTTTAGTACTTACCATTTTGGAAATATTAGAATTCACTTCCTTTGGGGATATTACGAATCACTTCCTTTTCCTTCACAACCTTTGTCTTCACTTCAAAATTGAATACCACTTGTTACCACTTGGATGCACGTTTACTTGGTTTGTGTGCCCGTTTTGGTATCTTTCACCAATTTATGGAACTGACGGCTTGCCAACCCCCAATTCGACTCAAAGCGCAACTTGAGTGAAATTTATGGCAGCGTCGAGCGTTGACAGCAGCTCCAATAGCATTTTGAGCATTTTCTTTTTGGCTTTGCCTTCAACGGTCGATCGCTGACGGAGTCCCAGCAGCCAGTTGGTGTTTGTTTGCATATTTTTGTTTTTGTTGTTCTCTCTTTGTCGACTTGAGTTTGTTTTGTTGTTGTTTATGCTGTTTCTACAGTTGGCGACACTACATTACCATATTGTTGTTGTAGTAGTGGTTGTGTCGGTGCCAAGCTTGAACTTTGCATGGCTCTGTGTGTGTGCGTGTGTGTGTGTGTGAATCAATATTTTTCAAAACACATTTCTCTCGAACAATACAATATGCTATTGTTGTTGTTGTTGTTGTTTGCAGAAAAGAAATGTGTCGAAGAGAACACCCCTCGCTTCGCGACTTCGAGTGAATTCTTGACTCTTTATTTCTCGAGCCGGTTTTGCGTCTATAGCCTCGGGGTCAAATTTATTGTTTCGTAAATGTGTAGCCCTGAGTTAGGAACCTACACACTACTTATATAAAACATGTCAAGTGTTCTTGATTTTTGTTTATTTAGTACCGTACATACATACATGCTCGTATGTACACATATGGTTGGTATTAGAAAGCATTATGAATAAGATGGATTATGGATTATATTTACTTAGACTAATGCCTTCTACAAAAATGAAAAAGATCTCATAAATCGCTATTCGTATTGCTAATGCTCTTGAATCCAGAATCTTTATTAAGCCGTTTTGGGTTTATTGAACTTTAACCCAGCTTCTTGAATATGCAAACGATTTCTCCACGTTAATCATTTACATACTTACACAGCTCACCACTTTATTTATAGTTTTATTTGTTGCGAATCGAATATGCGGCATTAGCAGGTAAAGATTGTGATAAATATTCTATCTATAGTTGATAGTATGTAGTTCCATATTTCAAACTACTAAAGGACTTTTAGTACTCTATACAACTCAATGAATACTTCTAATTCCAGATATATTCCCGATATTAAATGATACAAGCAAAGTGGTTGTAAAAAATCAGATCCTTAGGCTGTTTCTTGCAGAAGCAAAGCTAATTGTCAATTGTTTATTGAAAACTCCAGACTTGGTTGTTAAAAAACTTCGAAAAATTTGTTTTGACAGACATACTTGTAGAGTAGATGACTCATAGATACGAGTACATATAACATATTTATCAGATGTCTGGGCCGATCTATAAAAGTGTAACCACTTTTAAAATAAAGTTGTTTTTTTTTTGTAACTATTTCATTTTGCAGATAATATTATTAGGTTCGAAAAGAAAAATTGGCAATTTCAAAAGTGAAGCCAATAGTTTATTTAAATAACACGTTCAATAAAACTTATTTTTTGAAAGGAAAGGCCGAACTAATTAACTAAGTAAATTAAAAAAAGAAAACAAGAAAGGAATGCTAGAATGCAGATACATAATCATATACATACTGTTCCGATTTCATGTTGACGCTGAAGAATATAGATTGCCCACCACGTGATACTTCGATTAGCTGAGTCATTAACGCACCTGTAATATTAGTGGAACAAATGAAATTGTATGAGTGAAGATTATTGGTGTACAATATATAATTCCTTTTTTGTAAACAAAACTGTTACTAACCAGAGTCATTGAATTTTTTTCAATATTCTGATTGAATTTTTAGTTTTTTCAAATTTTTAATTGTTTAATTTTCAGAAGCGACCAATTGGAAACATCATTTCTAGCTTTTGTAAACATGAGTATAATTACACGTACATGTGAACTAATTATTAAGAATTCTCTTCATTTTGGTTAAAAGGGCTTATTGGCTTTTGTTACGATCATGATAAAATGAATGACCGTCGCTGAGACCAGTTGAGTTAGAGGCGCTGGGGAGACTGTTGGCGATTAGTTTATGATATTCCTAACTAAATCCTAAAGTTTCATTCTATCAGTTTTAAAAAGCTGGCATAGAAACAGTTGGAGTTGTTAAAAAAAAATCATCATAGTTATATTGTTTTTTACTATACAAATTTAAAAGTAAATTTCTGTTCGAGGGTTGAGTGTAAACCTATGTAAAACCTTTATTGGAATATGTTGAATGCTTCATTTTTGGCAAACCATGTGCGAGCTGATTAGAAGTAATTTTTTTGTTATTCAGCACCAAGATATAAAATCAATCGTGATTCATGGCATCATTAAAATAATCGCTTTGGTTTTCAAATATATGAAAGCACAATATAATAATATTCATTTACATTGCTTCCATATTAAACATAAATGGGCTTAAAAATGCTTGGACATGTGTTTAAAGTCCATCGTTTTTTCAGAATAGTTTTAGTTTTGATTTGAAACATGAACATTTCATATCTACTTTACCCAACATTGCCTTTTTTTCTACTACGCTGCGTTATAGTGAGTTACTCTTAAGTGGTTAGTAGCCACTGCATAAATTGTGATCTGTAAAGTTACAAATATATACATTAACTATACTTTATAGATCAGTGGCTCTGTCGCGTTTAGCAGCCTAGATTGCCATGCCGTTCGGGAAGATTTCGGTATTATCAAGGAGTGTCGCACTGATCCCACTAAGAAATTGATCAGTGTACATTTTTACTTAAAGAAAACACTAAACGCAGTATGTTTTAGAGATATACATCAACATTAGAAGCGGCTTGTGTTATTTTAATTATGGATCGCATTAGTTTCAGGTCAAGTTCAAGTATCTGAAACGTGAACGCGCAAATTGGCGCCCATATTTATACGCAATGACAGTAGATATCTGCGAATTTTTCCAGAACAAAAAAAAATATTTTGTGCCAAACATGATATATTCGTTTGGAGAGAAGTTTACAAATATCAATCACACCTGTCCTTATGAAGTAAATAAATACTTAGTCAGTAAGGCAGATAATGTGTTACAAACAGCCGATATGGTTGGAATATGTGTATATTTAATCTCACTCAAATTGTCCGCATTTGTATAATTTGTCTGCCTATCTGACCTTTACTAAGAAGGTATTACTTAACACTGACTGAAACATTTATTATTCCTTATTCAGGCCGGCACTGAATTGGTATTGGAACAGTGGCAGTTGGATGAGACCAAATTGATTTCAAAATTTTTCGTTGATAGTGGAGAATATGCAATACACACTACCTGGTATGGCGAAGGAGTAATGGGTTTACAAATCAATGGATCCATAAAGTTTAGAACTTAAGGATAAATACATATGTAAATGTATAGTATACTCGTACATTGTACATATTTACATATAGCACTCACGGGTAAACTTAATAAAACAATAAAATTATATATTTGAAACCCAAAAGAAGTCCAAGATTCCTTTATAATATTTAGTAAAATTGTTTAATCTGCCTTTTAAAAATAAAAGAATACAAAGAACCAAAAGCTATAGGATTTACTACTTTAAATTTACCGACGGAATGAATAATTTATTGGTATACTTGTATGTTATACCCTGTTCTTAGGAAGAAAGTCAATCAATCGCCAAGTGCATGCAGAAGAAGAGAGAACGCTACAGTCGAGCAAGCCCGACAGTGAAATACCCTGTAGGCAGGTAAACTTCCGACTCTGAGCTATATGCGCCTCTAACAGAAGCAAAAGGAAGAAGAGCGAAAGTGATGCTGCAGCTTGTGGGCGTAGTACCAGAGTGTAATTGTTTCGCTAATAACTTTCCTTCGAATAAACCGATTTTAATGAAATTCGAAATTCTACAAAAGTAGATAATTATATATAAATTATATTTACAAAGATTGGTTAATGTAGCTTTTAAATTGTGGACGGTATTGACGAAATTCTGTAGCGGAAGAAGGGGAGGAAAATTCCAAAAAATAAAATGAATACCAACTTTGGTTATTCTAGCTCTTATAGTTTCTGAGATCCTTGCGTTCATCCAGACAGACGGACGGACGGACATGTCTAGATCGATTTCTCTCGTCATGCTGATCAAGAATATATATACTTTATGGGGAGAATCTTCCTTCTGCATGTTACATATTTTGCACAAACTTAATATAGCTTTTGATTGATAATGATTGATAATTATATTTAAATGTTTAGTTAGTCTTAAGCGGAGAAAAAGGCGAGTATAGAGTATATTTGACATGGGCTGGCAAGCCTTGAACTTTCTTCCACTCACTTTATTGAGCGAGCGTAAAAAAGTAGAAGCCTTTGATGCCATACCTTTCAGTTTCTTGTGTTAGGCATTGCAGATCGTGCGCTCGAACTTTGAACGAGCTTTTAATCAAGGGAGAGCGAAAGAATCTACTTAATGTGCTTTTATAGAACACTCGGGAAAGCTTTGTCGCAGAATCAAAGCTTTCGCTCAGCACTGGGCTATGTCAACAAACGCAATAGAAACTTAAGCACACAAAACTTGCTCCCGTATTGACAACAAACAATGTCGTGTACTAACGGTAAGCATACAGTATAGAAATTAAAAAAGGTTTAATTTTTAATAAAATTCCCAAACTAAGCGAGCTTCTGGCGGCTAAAACTTTCCAAGCTGACGCCCACACTAATGTGTTGTGTCGCCAGCTCTGTCATAAATACAAATACAAACGTACTTCGGCAATTTAATGTGTTTTCCGCGATTAGATAAAACCGTACAGCAAGTGTGAGAGTGCTAGAAAAGAAAACGAAAATGTTGCTTTCGTATACTACCGCTGAACGCGCAGTAATAACTATTGGGTGGCTAGCAGTCTTAGACACTTTGTCGAGAGTTTAGCACATCATTTAAAATTGTCCTAAATTACTGATTTATTGCTAACATATAACAACAATGTTAACAGAGTACGCGGGAAATCTTTCACATCCCTTGGAGTTTGGACATGTGTTGGAAATCGTAGCCAAAACAATCGATGGAGCGTCCAGGTAATGCAAAAGATGTACATACATATGTACATTAATATATGTACATATATTCGACTTATGACTAATAATTGTGCAATTTTAAATGCTTTTGCTTTATCAGCAATGCCTTTACCTATTTATTGTTGCTTAAACCATGCAAAGTTGTGTAATTCGTATCGATCTTACAGGTTCCACATAAACCTTTGCACCGCTAAATCGGTTATAAGCCCAGATGCTGATATTGGTTTGCGATTTTCTTGCTACTTTCGGAATGATATGATTGTGCGCAATGCCCGCATACAGGGTGTCTGGGGCGAGGAGGAGACCAAAGTCATGGACAGCTTGACGCTGCCAAATCCCATAGTTAGTGGCGAATTCTTTATGGTCTATATATTGGCTTGTGAGGACCGCTTCCACATATCCATCAATAGTCGGGAGTTTTGTACGTTTGCCTATCGGATACCATTAGGAGCGATTCGAGCTTTGGAGATCCGCGATCAAATACAAGCGATTAAACAAGTTGATCATCGGACGATATTTCCGAATCCTTGGCCCGCCATACACGCATCGGATTATTTCAAAACCTTTAGCAATGACCAGCCTATACTTTTCAGTCCGGGCCACTTGATTATAATCACCGCGCGTTGCTTTGAGAGCAAGCGCGGTCAATTTATCATAAAGTTTATGGATTCGGACACAAAGCGCGAAGAGCTGCATTTCAGTGTGCGCTTTGATGAGAAGGTCGTTGTACGAAATTCTATGAATAAAAATTTTGAGTAAGTATCTTTATGTTCACTTTCCAAATATGTATATTTCACAATTTATTCCTTGTACCCTTCCTGTTCAGATTTGGCAACGAGGAGCGCCATGGAGGGTTTCCATTTGTCTTTAATCAACAATTCAAATTGGCCTTGGCGTTCACAGAACGCGAAGTCCTCACTGCTGTAGATGGCTACAATTTCTTTAGCTATGCCTGGCGGACGCCCAATGCCATGACAAATCTTGTTGGTTTTAAGATGACTTCCGTTAATGGACTGCACATACAAATAACAGGAGTTGACCATTTGCAAACGGGTGATCCAGGCTGCACGGGTTTTGAAAAATATTCACGACATGACTACGAGTGTGCATAGACATTAAAGGCTGGAATTCCAAAACGCTCAGCTCTATTTTACTTCACCCAGTTCTGGGGCAGTGACGTCATTCCAGACACAGTTCAGCACTTGAACATTCATGTACTTAAGTACTCAGATACCATTATCACATATACACATACATACAAATGTATTTACAAGGATTTCCATAGAAAATTTGCTGATGGGCGTTGAAATCCAAAGCAGCATTGATGACTAACAGAAGTAAGGCATTAGACAAATTTGAATAATAGTAAGCAGATTATATTTACCCCCTGACGCGGTTCGATCAATATGATGGGCCATTTGCACTTTTCTTCCACGTTTATCAAAGGAAATAAGGCATTCGATGTGCCTTCACTTGTTGCTCAAATAACCAAAAGATATGTAGTCATGACGCTTTCTGATTAAGGTATTTGGTATTTTCTAAAACATTAAAATGTATTTAAACGTTTTATAACTCTGAGAAACTGTAGTATGAATCGTGAGTTTACTTTTTTTCTTTACAGCGAGTTGTGTTTGCAAACAAAGAGGTTATTCAAAACAAAATACGAAGTTTACACGAGATCAGCTGTGACAGAGATGTGCACATTATATCGATAAGTTTGACAAATAGATCCCAAGTCTAGTATTTTTGTATGACCTCAGGTGGTCACACTCTTCCATGTATTATGGAATTTCGAATCCCATTAGAATCCCATCACTAATGCTAGATAACTTGTCTGCAAGCATTATTCCCATACAAATTTGTCATAAACATACGTATATACATATGTATGTTTTTACAATTTTATTTCTCTATATTATATCTTAGCATAGGGTTACAACTTCTACGAATATCAATCGGCCTGTGATATATTCTGTGCTGCACTGATTAAAGTATCATGGATGTCCTTCGACGATTGCACATGAATTCTGGCCAGACTCAAATAAGTGGGGTACGATATTGGGCCGCCTGGATTTTCATGATAGGGCTCCACGCGCATTGCGGTCACAGCGGCTGGAAGGTAGTGTTGGGAAGAAGTCGACTGCTGCATGCACTGCATGGCCGTTTTCAAATGTAGTTCTACAAATGTAAAATATAATTAATTTAACGTAATATTTAACATGGCAGCGCTAGAATTGCTTACCCATTTGATCACAGCATGCATAGAAATCCTCGAGGTGTTTGTCGAAGCGCGCAACATGTCCATTGTCTCGCTTAAGGTTGTCCGCAACATTGTTTTGCTGAAGCGTAAATGCACTGTTCTTAATTGTTAAAAACATGGATTCCCGCAGTGGTCCAAGAAGCGTCTTCACTCTTGATATGGAAATGTTGTCCATTTTTTCGGCCTGCTGTTGATGCTGCTGTTGCATTGGCCCTTGTGGCGACGACTGCATCATGGGCGATACCTGCATCATTGGTGGTCCTGGCATTTGCATCATATTCATATTTGGATTCATTTTCGTTAGCTAGCAACACAGCTAAATGATTTATTTTTATAAACTAAGATGTCCAACACAGAGCTTGGAAATAAATTTGTTTGTTTTCCTGAAGCAATTACAAAGCGATAAATTAAATGGCTTAGTTATCGCTACGAGAAAATCGATAGGCTGTCAGAATGATGGCAGCACCGTCCAGCATTCTCAACTGTTTCGCAACTGTTGTTGAAAATGTAAACATTCAAATACATTGATGCATTTGCGCTGTGAACCGTTATTTGATAATGAAACCAATTTCAACCAGCAATGAAGCGTTCAACCTCTAAGCACTTAATATTGACGAAATAAAACCAACTTTTAATAAATGTACGCATTGTGATATTAGGCGTAAGTAAGAAGTTAATGAATAAATTCTTTAACGATAAACACTGATTATATGTATTTAGATCTATGCATTCTTCGAATTCAATAATGTTAAGTGCACCAGCAGCGATAATAACTTTATGAATTTTGAATGTTGATTTGTAAAATCAATAAATTGAAGATCGCCTTATATCTACAACTTTTGAATAGAAGTTACGCGCCAATCCAATGGCTAATGTTATCTTCCAGAGCTTTGCCCTTTATTCGAATTTCTATCACACATGCCCATTTGATTTAAGTATTATTGTTATGTTTATTAGTTATGATTATTCATTTCCAGTATAAAATGTATCTATATATTAAATTAGCATGACCTTTTTGTGGAAAAACTGCCACATTGTATCACATATTTTGTCCCATGGGAGATATATTTTAAAGATCAATTGGTTTGAAAAGAGTAAATTAATACAAGTTTACTTTACAAAAGGCTAAATTAATCAACTGTTGAAATAAAAATATATTGTACTATATAAGTCAAAATAAATGGTTATAAAAAGACAGGAATGTATTAAATAACTAAACACATTAAAAGTTTAGTTATTCCTTGGAGTATAGTACGTATGTATATCATTTGAACAAATGGGAGTACGATTTCTAAACAAATTTGAGTCTATATTTTGTAGGTAGTAGGCTGAATGAGCAAAAAATAAAATGTCACCATTTCCAGACGTTATTATTTTCGATTAAAACTCAATTATTTCAAATTTTCCATCTCCGAAACATTTACAAAGTACACGATGACCAAAGAGGTTATTACCATAGACCAGTTGAGATACCAACGGATGATTACCGAGAAACTCGATGAAACTGAAAGTCGCTGGAAAAATCGCTTCTCATGGTATCCGGGGGGTCAGGCGGAATATTACGGTCGGATTCCCCAAATCTACTCAGAGAGTCGCGAAACGTACGGAGATAAGCTATTTTTCGAGTATGCACGACGCAATCGCTTGCACGAACGATTCACCTTTGATGAGCGGGAGGAAAGGATCAAGGAAAAGAAGCGCAGGACAATGGTCGGTGAAGAACAGACGGACCTAAAGGCATCCCTCACCACAAACGGTGAATATGGGCGTGTAAAGCCCAACAGAATGCACTTCTACTGCAATTAATAGATCAACACAGCGCACTTACTCTCAATATCAACAAATCTGGACAGTTGACTCCGCCGCCGGCTGGCAGTGACAATGCAACTTGTAATTGCCATTTCATTTGCTCTTCAAAATATTTTGCATGACCGTGTGCATAATTAACAAGGTGAAAATGTCAGCCAGAGCTGTGTGCCTGGGACCGGTTCTATAATGCGCTGATTAAAAAGTCTCTGCGGTCGTTTAAGCCGAGTTTTTACCGTGCGGCTGATTGTCACTTTTTTGCAAACGTAATTAACAACAACCAAGCTGGTTGCACTTTTTGTTGCAGCAGCATGAAGTTGAAAAACTAAACTTTAGTTAGTTGTCTGGATTTATATGGCTTTTTTTTTGCTTCTTTACTTACAATTAAATTAAAAACAAAATAAAAACTGATTGCAGATTTTAATTAGATGTCGAATTGTACCAAAACCTGCCATTCATTTTATTATACAATCTTACAATCCTGAACATATTTGACTTTTACACGAAATATTATTCCGATAACTTAAGTAACAAAATAGCCATGATTTTGTGGTTGTACGAGCCCTAACCACTATTAATTGCTACGGCTATGTTTTTTTCAATAGTGCAACTTTCAATGACCTTTTTTCATTTTTGGGTGATGATTGCACAAACATATTTATACTTTTTGAAAAGGCCATTGAATTACCTTTAATTTCAAATCAAAACATGCACACGTTTCACATAACAATTATGCAAAAAAACAATTTAAATAAGACAACATCATAATACATGAAATATTTTTGACCATTATTAATTGGTACGGCAATAATATTTTTTTAAAAAGGGCCAAAAAAAAGGGAAATGTGAACATATGCCTTTGAGTTGTAATTTTTAATAAGTTTTCTAATTTTTGAGCACGATGGCTACCTCGTGCCTCGTGAATACGGTCGAGCTTCAAATATAGAAAAATTCAATTCGTAGTCGAGTTTGGCAAGAAGTTTTGTAAATTAATTCAAAACTACCAGAAAACTTAAATGAAATTTTCTTGTACACGAAATATTATTCCGATAACTTAAGTAACAAAAACATGGCTAGTGCTTGTAGTCGAGCTTGGCAAGAAGTTTTGTTACTTGTAATTTACTCAAAACTACCGGAAAACTTAATTGAAATTTAAATTTATGTTGAAATTTAAAAATTCCCTTTGTTCCTTCTACTTCGGTTTACAGTTTGTGGTAATCACCTACTAAGTAGTCGATTAGTTAAGAAAATGTTCTATAAATACAAATTATTCACAAAATTATTTAAAACTTTAATGAAATTTGTGAAGCCGCTGGTTTTGAATGGGCTCTTCATGGAAACCTTCAAGACGAGGTACTTAGTGTGTATTCCAAAACATCTGTCATTGCAAAAATTGGGCCTGGCACATTGCCTGATGCCGCCATTAGCTTCAAAGTTTTAAGGAAATTTGCGCATTGTTATTGTGCTCAAAGGCATGCCAATGCAAATTTAACAAAGTGGCAGCCTACATTGCTGAAGAGTTCGCAGCGCAAACTTTTCTTTTTATTAAACTTTAATACCTTCTGCTGGTACTATATTGCAAATTTGAATTGTGCCACACATTGGCAATGAATATTCGCACACGTAGAGTCTCATTAGACACGTGGCTGCATTCACAGCGTTTTGCATTTCCAGCCAAGCTTTCTGGCGTGGGCATATTTGATGATGACGATAATGACGAGCTGCAAAGTAGTCGGAGGCGTTACCAGCTTATGTATGTATATAGTTGTAGTTATACTTAGTTATTGGTATTGGTATCCCAGCAGTGGTCGAGTGCGTGTGAAAAAAAAATCAACAAATGGCACACAAGCAGCCCACAAAACCGCAACGCACACAATTAAACGGTAGCAAATAATTGCTATCAAAGAAAAATATGCTGAACCTATATACGCTGATTCAAGTACGTATTGGTATAAAAAAGATCTTGATTTGATTTTTGGCTGAGCGTTCAGCGCATACTTCAAAGCTTTCGACGATTCGCCTTGTGCCTGTGCGTTTTTATTGTTTGTGAAATTTTCCCATCGATGCGAATTTTTTGTTGAATCATGGCACGAAAGTTTGAGAGTTTTTTTTTTCTTTTTTTTTACAACGTCAGTGGGCGTCAGCTCAGGGGACAGCTGAGCTCAGCATCATCAGACATCAGAAGAAGAAGAAGTGGAATTCGCCCTCACTTGTAAAAATAAAGGCCGTGGCACTTGCACATTGTTGTTCTTTGTGTGCTGCAGAGCCAGCACCAGTACTACTATGGAAAGGCAAATACAAAACAAATAAATAAACCAAGCCAGTGGTGCACTTGACGCCTCAGACCAGCCAGCCATGTATGGTTGCAACAGCTTGAGTTGCTGCGATTTAGGGGTGGGCCTTGAGCCCGGAACCCTTTTTGCAAAAGGTAAACAACATTTGCGGATTTCACGCCAGGACAACGGGGAAGGCTCAGACAGCATTGCTGATCCTATTAGAGGGCACAATGGCTGTGCTTCACTGACTGGCGCCATGTCTGCTTGCAATTATGCTTAAGCGCGCATGCGTATTCGGATTAGGGCGTAAAAGGGACTTAATCCAGTTTTGCTTAACTTCAAGGCACTGACCGCAGCAGGTAGCAATGACAAGTGGTCAGTGAGTGGCAGAGAGCTGCATGAAAAGCAGGACTGCGTTTTGCGGAAAAACAGAATAAAATAATAAAGCTGCATAGCTGCACAGCAGAACAACAACAACAACAACAACAACGAAGAAGAGAAAAAGATATATAAAAACAAAAAGTTGGAACATTAAGCAAATAAAAGTCGTCAGTGGCCAAGGCTCATAAATGCTGAGCAGCTGACGCCGCTATGACGGGCCGAGCAGCAACAACAACAACAGCAACAACCCCAGACGCGACTTCAAATTAAAACGCCATTGGCATTTTGGCACGCATAGATAGCGCGCGCATGGCTTTTTGGCCAACAACAACAATAACAACAACTCTTTTGAACCAGCAGCCAAGTTTGCCAAACGTTTCAAGTTGTGCCGCCGCCTGCCAAAGCCAATTTGCCAATTTCTTGACTTTAGTTTGATTTGCCGCTAAAACGCCCCCGGCTCTCGTGCTCTGACGGAAACGTAGACGGAGAATGGAGACACAGAGGACGAAGTCGACGCCAGTATTTAAAAAACCAAAGCATAAATTTTGTTACTTTCTAGCCTGTACCTAGATCTCACAAAACGTATCCTGAGGATACTTATATATCCATGTGTGTAACTGTTTTAAAAACTATTTCATATAGGCGCACAGTTCTAGATAACTGGATTGCTGGTCTCTGCACTTTTAGTATAGAAGATGTTGAATCTAGCCTGATTGGACCAAGGGTTGATGCGCTACTTCTTCACAAATTCGTTAATAGACCTCTTAATATGATATAATAAATATATATAATTATAAAGAATAATAAAAATCTTGAATGTTAAAACTAAAATTAATAATCTGAAAACAACCTAATAATAAGCTTGATATAATTAAAATTGTAATGACTAGCATAATAATTTAAAAGTAAGCTGATACTTGTAACGCTAGGATAAGGTTAATAAATAAAAAAATAAAAAAAATAAAACCCCTTTAGAATCATGTTCTTTAACAGAAAAGGCAGGTAGGTTTCTTTGATTTTAATTATTCTTAATAATCTTTTAGGGATATTAGAAATTTTCAAATCTTTTAAAAAATACTTTGGAAGCGGCAGATCGGTTCTAATTCACAAATCTTAACATATTTCTTTTCAGGGTTTAATATATTCCTGAAAAGAAGATATATAAATTATCATACTGATAGCCGCGTCAACCTACTATTGGCTAAAATGAATATAAAAAATATAATAAAAGTCACATTTTTAGGAATTTTGTTCACTAGTCTCTCAGCTCAATATATAAGTATATAAGGTGAGCGAAATAATTAACTAGGGCACTACGTTTCATAGTACAAAAACTGAACCGTTCAATATATTTTCAAAAACCAAATTATTGCTTAAACTTAACTTAAATATTATCAATAGGCTTCAAGTTAAATAAAGCAAACAAAACGTAAGAAAATATATTTAAAAAATTAAACAAAAAATTACCAAACGAAATAATTGACATTTCAAATTCATTGTTTATGTGTTAAAATTAAAAAAGAGCCAAAAAAAAGAATTTTAACGCTAACGCCTTTAGTTCCTTTTCTCTTCCTTATATTTTCAAACGTAGTTGTCTATAGTACTATATAGTGCGGTTGTTGAAAAATGTGAGCAGGCTTGTAGTGGTATTATTTTGAAGTCAAATAATTTTTTATTTTATTTATTTAATTATCAATGCGTTTTCTATTAGGTCAGGCGACTTACAAGTACGTTTAAAGTTATTATTATACAATATCTAGTAATAACAAGTAAAAAAGCTAAAGTCGGGTGTCCCGACTTTGAAATACTCTGTACATATGTTTACAATAATTATAGAAAATAAAAAAAATTAAGAAAATAAAAAAAAAAATTTGATCGATTTTACCTCTCTCGGTATTCGAACTCACGTAAAGGGTGTATAATTGCACATTTACATAGCAATTGCGTCTGTGTGAGTGTATGTATGCCTATGCGCATCAATTCGTGTCTGTGTAAGCATTTTCGCAGTCAACCAAACAGCAACATCAACAACAGCCGCGAGCAGCGCTTGAGCAGCGCTGCAGCAGCGCTGCATCAGCAAATATATTTATGGCTATAACTTCTTGTTAAATCGGTCTATCATAATGAAATTTGGCATACGGACACATAATAACTAACTGGGGGTATTTCCAAAATTTTAGTTCGAAATTCCAAGAATTACGGGAGTTACGATTTGCGGGGTAGAGGGGGGAGGGAGGGGAATTCCAAAATATACATTTTCTGCGTATTCACATAAGGCATCTGGGACTTAAATTTGGTGTTCCTAGGTCTTATAGTATCCGAGATATAGGCGATTATACGAATGGAAAATCGGGAAAACCCCCATAGGGGGGAAGTGGGGGGGAAAATCAAAAAAATAAAACAAACTCGTATAGAATACACACATAACGCATCTTCGTGCAAAATTTGGTGTCTCTATCTCTTATAGTCTCTGAGATCCAGGTGTTCATACGGACGGACAGACGGACAGACAGACAGACAGGGCTAGATCGACTCGTCTCGTAATGCTGATCAAGAATATATATACTTTGT